GATGAGAAGCTTAACATGAGCCGGCAGTGTGGACTTGTAGCCCAGAAAGCCAACCATTCTTTACTGTGAGGGTGGTGAGGCACTGGAACAGGTTGCCCAGAGAGGTTGTGGAGGCCCCATCCCTGGAAGTGTTCAAGGCCAGGTTGGATGAGGCTTTGGGCAACCTAGTCTAGTGGAGGGTGTCCCTGCCCATAGAGGGGAGGGTTGGAACTAGATGATCTTTGAGGTCCCTTCCAACCCAAACCATTCTATGATTTTCAGATGTACTCAGTAATAACACTCTTACTAAACACAAAGGCCCTTAGCACCTTATAAGATGCTGTCATCTATAATTACATATAATCTTGTAACGAATAACTAACCTGTTGATCCCAGCTGCATTAACCAAGTAGTTAATAGGACCTAAATTCCTCTGCATCTCCTCAAAAGTATTCTGGACTTCTTGTTCACTGGATACATCACAGCTAAGTGCCAGATGTCCTGCTGTATTGAAATAAAGGCACATCATAAGAATAGTAAAAGATGGTATACCATTCATAAATCTTCTTCAGAATTTATCAAGTCAATAGCTAAAACAGATGTTGAACTAGTTGTAACCTGAGGAATCCATTTAATCCCCAGAGAATTAAATAAGGACAATTTTCAACTATTGTACTGATCAGTTACGTGACAATTTCTTGGTTTATATTTTGGCCTTTTGAAATCAGAAGTTCAGCATAAGCAGACTGGTCTCAGTTCTGGCTTGGTCAGGAGCCAAGGATGACTCAGTTCATACCACCTCTCTGTTGTGATCTTGAATGATTCCTTTCATCTTACTTATTCTATCCACAAGATATGAATTGTAACATACTTAACTTGCCCAAAGAATATTATGAAAAGAAAATTGTACCGATACAGCTTTTCTTTCAAATTTCTCAGCCTTTACTTTCATTTCCATCTAGTTAAACAATGAGGTTTATTTTATGACTTATTACTTTTACAAGTTACCTAAGCATTGGACAGTGAAGAAAGTATTGCAAAGCAGCATACATACCACCAAGATTACGTGCAGTGGTTTGGGCTACTTCCAGATTTCTAGCAATAATCGCCAGGCGGCAGCCTTTCTGTGCCAGTAATTCTGCAACAGCTTTTCCTATTCCTCGGGATCCTCCAAAAATGGCGCAAACCTTGCCCATCTTAAAAAATAATTCATAAATTGCAAATAAACTATGAATTTCAGGTCCAATATAGCAGAGAGTAATCACTGTTCTGGTCAACATCATGGCTCTTACTGGCCTGTAGCATTTTGTAATATCAGATTATAGAATTAGTGATTTGTTAATTGTTTTATTCACCAAAAAATATTTGAACTAAATTAGACACCACTTCTAAAAATGCAAGTTAATTCTTAATGATTTCTGAACTAGTAAGAAAATTATGCACGTAATCTAGCATTTCAATACTAGTGTTATAATAACTCCTATTCAGTTGACGAAATATGTGATTTACATATGTAAAGGCCATAATGTATCATTCAGCCTTAGTTTTTTTTATTTCTGCTTTTGAAGGAAAAAAAGCTTTTTGAAATGTGAAATGATTCTGAAGCAGCTAGCTTAGATGTTTAGGAAGGAGTGTACGAAGAAAGTACTTCTGTGGAGTGCTTTTTTATTCTGCAATCTCTAGAAACCAACCAGCTGTTTTGGGATTTCCTGAGGAGCCAGAGGAAGAATACAAACAATAGTAATGAACCTATTTTCCATATATTTGAATAAATCCTTTTTGAACCAAATTATATTTTGTCTCCATAACATCCTGAGGCAGTAAGTTTCATTATTTGTGGAAAAGCTCTCCTTTTGTTCTCAATTTGCTTTCTGCTTAGAGAATACTATGCATTTCTCCTCATATCTTCCCCTTACTGTTTTTAACTTCAGAGGCTACTCTTCTGCATTTTACCTTCCCCCTATATCCTCTTTCAGGTGTATTTACTTACTTTTATACATATGGAAGCCATTCTGTATCTCACTAAAGACTGTCCAAGCTCTTAATCCTGCCACTCTACTTTTGCCTTACTTCAGTCTATTGTGCTCTTTTTGATGTGTGATAACCAGAAGAGCACACAGTGTTAAGCATACAAGGACACCATCAACTCACACAATGGCATAATGGTCTTCTGTGACAGGGCCTGGAACAGCAGATAGTCCTTTAGTAAGCACAAGTGCTTGCAATCAACCCATGTGTCTGCTTATACTGGCAAGTTTAAATCAGCTTCCTAGGAGTAGGAAGAGGATTAAATACTTGTATCTCAGGTGGCAGCCCCTTCAAAAGAACACGTACAAAAAGATGTCCTGCATGAAGACAATTCCTTAGTGATAAAACCAGGCACCACTGCCTTACCAGAATGACTAATCTTTTTGGTAGTCTTCATTGGGTAGCTAGGCTGCAAGAGATGAATCAAGAGGTCTTGCACCCCAGTAACTACCGCTCTGTTTTAGCAGACTAAAGGCACAACCCATACATTGTTGACAGATTTTTTTGTTAGAAACAAAGTCTCAGTCTGCCTTCTCCATCGTGACAGACCTCTTATTTTACAGAATTATCTGTTCTGACTCTTGGAAGTTCTTGCCTACTTGTTGCCACAATGTTGTACTAGGATTTCCTCCTCCATATTTTGTTCTTACCAGCACTGAACATACCTCCTCTTGTTTTTATTTGAAACATGGAATAATACAGATTAGAAGGGATCTTGGGAAGTCATCTTGTCCCCCTAAGCAATGTCAAGTGAACCATCTTAGACTGTTTATAAATGCTGTCAGACCTGTATGTATTTTCCAAATGATTCTGAACATGCTTAGCTACACAGGACTCAAAAGGCTGCCTGT